CATAAAAATATTAAGTAGTTTAATTATTTCTTTTTGAAATTACTTAGATATGAGATTTTGCTATACTATATTATCAAAGAGTTCTTGTAATAGTCTGTTGTAAGAGATTATATAATAATCTTGAGTTCAGATAAGAAAATTTACAAATCTTTTATCTGAATCTTGATTAGTAAGAAAATAATAAGAATAATAATTATATAATTCAATATGAGATAAGAATTTTCAAGAATTATCTTAATTATGTTTATTAAAATATAGATTAATTAGGAGTCTAATAAAAGTATAATATATATTTATAAACTATTTAATTAATTAGATAATAAATATTTCAAGAGTAATTAATTTTTAAAAATAATAAAATAAAGTTGAAAGAGATCTCTAGGAGTTTAAGATTTATAGAGAGAATATCAAATATTATAAACTATATTCATAAAGATAGATTTTATTAGAAATATAATTTATAATAAGTTTTGAGAATGAAAACTAAAATTATTTATAAGATAAAGAGAATTATAATTATTTTAAAGATTTTCTAATATTAATACTTATGAGTATTATATTAATACAAGACAAAAATAAAATAAAACAAAAAGAATTTATAACTAAACTAAGAATAGATATTAAAAATTAAATAATAAATATTATAATTAAAAATAAAAGATTTAGTATACTAACTAAACTCTCTAATAGTATCTTTTTAATTATTAAATAAATAAAAGATAAATATCAAACAAAAACAAAAGCTTTTATATATAAAAAAGTTTATAAGAATTTTTTAAATCAAAATAAAATATACTTGACTTATTTTAAGTGAAAAATATTCATTATCTATATTTTTTAAACAAGAAAAATATATAATTAATCAGAATATAATCTATTATAATAAAAAAAATAAATAAAAGCAAAATATTAAGATAAAGATAAAAAAAAATTACAAGATAAGTATAACTCAAGTATTTTCAAAGATAATTAAATTATTATTATTCAAATATATTTATTTTATATTCAAGAACAGAGATATTTATATATCTTTGAGATTTTATAGATTTCTATCTAAATTTATTTGTTACTCTAATATATAATTACAAGTTTTAGAATAAAGAATCAATAAACAAACAAGTAAAATAAAGAGATAAGATATATATAATAAGTTAAAAAATAATACAATGACAAAATAAAATAAAAAGATAAAATAAATATTCTAAAAAGATAAAGATAATAAAAAAAATAAATAAAATTCATTATTAAATTATTTCTAAAGTCTTTTTAAACTATTATTAAACTATTTGTGAACTATTATTAACTTTTAAGCTAATTATATAATTAAGATCTTAAAATATTACAAAAATATTACAAAAATATTAATAAATTGTAACTGAATTTTATAATTAATATACCAATTAAATTATTCTAAATCACATATCTTCTAAAGATTAACTAATTAGTTAAAATTTCAAGTTTAAAAAATTATAAAATTAAAGAAATTTATATTACTATAATAATGTTATTATATAAGTAAAAATAGTAATTTTATTTTTTTATTATATATTGTAAATTATAATTTTATTTAATATAAAATAAAAATTATTTTTTAATAAAATTATAAAATTTAATATAAAAAGAAAAATTTAATTTTTATTAAATAAATATAACTTTTTAATTTATACTTATAAAAATTATTATATAATAATTTTTTATAAATTTTATATAATAAAATATTTATTTTTTTGAAAAATTTAATATATATTATAGATTAGTATAAAAAGATTTATATTTTAATATAAAAACTAATAATTATTTCTAATAAAAATTATTTAAATTTTAACTAATCTTTATAATTTTTTTATATTAAAGAAAAAATAATCTAAATTAACTTTTTATATTATTTTAATTATTTTATTATACTTTAATTTAATAATAATTAAAATATTACTTACCAAAAAAAAACTAAAATAAAATTATTATTTTAAAAAAAAGATATTTTAAATATTATTACTATTAATTTATAATATTATAATTTCAAATTATATAAGCAGATTACTCTAAATTTGATAAATATATATTCTAAATTTTATAAAAATTAATTAATAATTATAAAGATATTAAAATTTAAAGTTAAGTAATTAAATTATTTACTGTATAATTTTTATATTAATTTTATTCAAATTTTATATAGTAAAATTTAAGAAATAATAATTAAAAAAAGTTATTATTAGTAAAAATTTTTTTTAAAAAAGATATATAATAAAAATTTTTATATTTTTAATAAATTCTAATATCTAATAACTTAATTAAATAAGATAGAATTAAAATTTTATTTTAAAAAAACAATTTATTAATATTTATCTAAAATACAAATCTTTTTGTATTGATTTATATTATATAATTAAAAATATATTTATATAATATAAATTTATAATAATATTATTTAAAAATTATTTTTAATTTTAAAAATTATAATTTTTTTAATATAAATGTTTCATATTATTTATTATTAAATTAAAATATATAAGATATTAAAAATAATATAAAAATTTATAATAAAATTATTTTATTTAATATTTAATAATATATTCCTCTGAAATAAATATTAGATCCTCTTTCAATTTAAATTACTTAATAATCCATATAATAATTTTTTATAATTTATAAAATAGCTTTATAAGTAACTATTATAAACTTAATATTTTGTTGGCCATTCATTTTTAGTAATACATACTTCAACTTATTATGACATGCTTTTCATTAAATCTATATAAATATATTCAGAAATTTGAGCCTATTCATTCTGTAAGACAATTTCTAACTCTCTAATATTTTTTGAATATTTCAAATAATTTTGAATATAATATTCTAATTCTGACTACAAATGCTCAATTAGATTCAAGTTAGGTAATTGACTTGGCCAATTGGATAATATTTTGATCTTCTTCATCATAATTTACTTATTAATATCTCTGGCCATGTGAATGAATACATTATCTTATTGAAATATGTAATCTTTTTCATTAAATTTGGTTTAATATAAAGTAATAAATATTTCTCAAGTATTTTTATATAGGATAATCTATCTATTTTATCTTCTATTTTAACAAGTGAATCCAATCTCTTACCTAAAAAGCAATCTCATATTATTAATTCATTATTATTATGTTTTACTGAAGAAATAAGATTTTTAATATTAAAGCATATTCCAGAAGTTCTCCAAATATATCCTGGTTTATCTGTTTTAAATATAATAAACTGACTTTTATTACTCCAAATAATATTTATTCATTTTTTGACTGACTATTCTTTTCTCTTAAGATACTAATTGAGTCAATTTTCTCTTTATTATGATAAGAAAAGAGATTTTGCTACTGGAATACAAGAGTGAAATCTAATTTTATGCAAATATTTTATAAGAATGTGATTAGAAACTTGAATACCAATCTTTTCTCTAAATTTTTCATTAAGCAAGGGAACTGATACTCTTTTGTATTTTTTCATAATTTATTTTAACTTGTATTTGGCTTTGGTATCTATAGATTGAGAATAATCACTTCTCAGTATAGTTTTTGTGCTTTTTCTATTATGATAATTTTGAATTATTCATGTAATTATCATTTTAGTAAAGTTTAGAGTCTTATTAATATCATTTCTTGAAAAATTAGTCTTGTAAAAATCAATAATCTGATAGTATTTACTTTTAATCAATTCTGAATTTTTAGATATTTCATTATTGAAATTGAAATCAGACATTTGTAATTTAGACAAGTTCATCTTTTATTTTGTAAACAATTAATAATCAATGTAAATAATATATAACTTGCTATATATATTTATAAGATACTAGATTATAATACATAAAAATTTGGAAATAAATTATTATGTACGCTGTCATATAAATTAAAAGTAAAGAGGATCTGATACTTATTTCAGGGGAGTGTATTAGTTATATTTTATATAATTTTTATTAAAAATTATTAACTTTTATTTATTATATATTTTTATATTAAAATATATTAAAATTTAATTATTAAAAGTTAAATTTATAAAAAGTTAAATTATTAAAATATTAAATTACTATAATATTAGATTATTAAAATATTAGATTATTATATAATCAGAATATAAAATTATCAAAAAGATAAGTTATTAAATATTAATTAATATTCAAAATTTTTACAGAAATAATAAATATATCTGTTCTAATAATATAAGTTCTTAAATAAATATTTTTATTAAAGGATATTCAGAATTGGCTCTCTTAAACCAGTTCAAAATATTATTCAAATATCTGTAAAACTAAATTACTAATAATTTTTTCAAAAAGCTTGGACAAGTTATTCAAATTATTCAAGAATAAATCTTGTTTACTATGTATTTCAAGTGGTATTTTGGAATAAAAAGTTATTAGAATTATAATTTAAAATAATAAGAAAATATATTAGTAATATAATTGAAAAAGTAAAAATTTTTAATATGTGAATTAATACTAAATTAAAATAAGAGTTGCATTAAATGATTATTATTACTTTAATAGAATAAAATTCACTTTTCTTTTGGTCTCTGATTCTTTAATAACGAATTATTCAAAATTTCATCATTTTTTCAATGCTTTTCATTTCTTTTGTGTCACTATATCAAGCTAAATAATCTAGTTCAAGGAAATTGGTCTCAATAAATTATTTCAATATCATATAGGATTTTCAATCATAAAGATAGTTACAATTCATGAATATTTTGGTTAAGTCTTGTTTAATCTCAACCGCTAAATTATATGAAATATTGTTAAGTTATATGTAACATAATGAGAAAAACATATATTTCAAATTAGCGTCCTAATTTTCAGAAACTGCCTGATAACACCAAGACTGGATGCCGGAATAATTATGTGAAAAAAGCATTTATTGTTTCATAATTTTATTCTTTTACACACTGATTTTAAAGTTTAATAAATATAGATTACTGTATATGCTTTGCATAATATCATGACTATCAGAATTGATTAATAATTTTTACAATTCACAAATGTCATCATCTTCTGCTTGTTGCTCATTAGAATTACTACTAATATCAATAGCAGAATTTTGAATATACGTAATAGCCGTTGTTTGATGCGAATACGAGGAACTTGATGTTGCATAATAATTCTTATCAGCCTTTTTATGAGTTGATTCTGAATGTTGTTGTATATCGTTGGATTGTTTTGGTTTTACACTTTTGACTATATCTTTGTCGTTATCTTCGAAATTATCTGGGGAAGCGAGAGAACTATCATATAAACTAGGTTCAAGCGCTATTTCATTTGAGTCGGTTTTAAATTCGGGGACACGCCTGTATGTATCTGCAATTTTTTGCGATACCACTGCATCCGAGAATTCGTTTCTATCAGAACCGACTTCAGGGGATGTACAGTCGCAATCATCAGAATCCTCCATCTTAATATTAGCGATTACAGAGTTTTTCCAAGTATCCATAGTAGAGGCTACGTTCTGACTGTTATTCGTATTTTTAAGATCGTTTGAAACTATTTTACTTAAATTATTCAGATTTTCGGCAACCATTTGTTGGATGTTTTTGGTAGTATTGTTATAATCGATTATATGTCCATCCGAGCTTAGGACATTTTCATAGCTTGCGGTCTCTTTCGAGTTTGCAGCATTTTCATATTTTGTAGTATCTGACGAGTTTTTTGTGGTGCTATTATAATTGATTAGATTTTCATTTTCATCCGAGTTTATGATATTTTTATGCCTTGTTATATTTAGGTTTTCGGCAATTATTTGTCGATTTGGATTTGACGTGTTTCCGGTGGAGCTATTATAATCGATTACATTTTCATTTGAGTTTACGATATTTTCATTCATGTACTTTGTGGTATCCGGCGTAGGTTCATCCGAGATTACATTTTCATGTTTTGTAGTACATGCATCTAAATTTTCGGTAAGTGAATCCGAATCTGACGTGTTTTTTGTGATCTTGTTATAGTCGATTGCATTTTTATCCGAGCTTACGACATTTTCATGTCTTGTATCTATAGTTTCAGTAATTGGCTGATTTGAATCTGACGTGTTTTTTGTAGTGCTGTTCTGATCATGTTTTGTGCATGCGGTATCTAGATTTTCGGCAACCATTTGTTGACTTGAAAAGTTTTTGATGGTGCTATTATAATCGGTTGCATTTTTATAGTTTGTAGTATTTAAATTTTCGTCAACTGTTTGTTGACTTGAATTTGACATGTTTTTAGTGATATTGTTATAATCGGTCGCAGTATTATTCGAGCTTACGATATTTTCATGTTTTGTTGTATATGACGTGTTTATCGTGGTGCTGTTATTATCGGTTACTTTATCATTTTCATCTAAACATATGGTATTTTCATGATTTGTAGCATCTAAGTTTTCATCAACCGTTTTTTGACTCGAATTTGACATGTTTTTATTAGTGTTATTATAATCAGTTGTCGTATCATTCAAGTTTACGACATTTTTGTTGTTATAATCATCCGTGGTTACGATATTTTTACATCTTGTAGTATCTAAATTTTCAGTGTTTTGCTGCTTTGAATTCGAATCTGAATCTGGCGTATTTTTTGTGGTGCTGTTATATATGATATTTTCATGGTTAGTAGTACATGTATCTGACGTGTTTTTTGTGGCGTTGTTATAATCGATTGCTTGTTCATCCGAGATTACAACATTTTCATCCAAGCTTACGGCATTCTTATGTTTTGTAGTATCTGAATTTTCGTCAATAGTTTGTTGATTCGAATTTGACATGTCTTTAATGATGTCGTTATAATCAGTTGCAATATCATTTAGGTTTATGTCATTTTCATCGTTTGTTATTTCTGACGTGTTTTTAGCGGTGTTGTTATAATCGATTGCATGTTCGTCCGAGTTTAGGACATTTTCATAAGTTGCAGTATCCTTCGAGTTTGCAGCATTTTCATGTTTTGTATTATTTGACGTATTTTCACCCGAGCTTAATCCATTTTCATGTCTTGTAATATCTGGGTTTTCGGCAATTATTTGCTGATTTGAATTTGACGTGTTTTTGATGGTGTTATCATAATCGATTGCATTTTCGTCTGAGTTTACAATATTTTTGTCAACTGTTGGCTGATTTGAATAGAATGTAGTCAGCGGCGAAAAAATTTCAAATCCTATGACAGATGTATTAATGTTATATAACAGCGATGATCGCATTTACATTCTTACATTCGAATCTAACAATATCGATATCAGTATTTATTAGTTTATTAATCGCACCTATTTCTTTCTCAGAAAATTCCTTTCCATTCCCATATCCATTGCCATTCCCATTTACTTTCTGCGAGTTCCCATTGTCGTAACCATTTCCGTTCCCAATGCTATTTAGACCGTTGAATTGACTATTTGTTGTTTTTTCTATATAATATGGTAACGTTTTGGCAATTTGAATAAATAATAAATTATAAAATATAGTGCACATAGGAAAAGTAGATAATTTAGGTGAAATCATATTCGATAGTAGTGGAGTTATTTGATTGATACTTATGAAAATATTCAATTTTGTTTGAATTGAATGAAATGAAGAAAACTTTTCGAATTTGTGACCAATTTATATTATAACTTGACGCCAAAAACGTTTTATTTATCAATTTGCAGCCGGCTCTTGCCACTGCAGAGTTAAAAATTATCATTTTTAAGTGCTATTTAGTTAGAAACTCTCATTATTAACTAACTGATTATTAGAATTGCACAATTTGTTAACAATGTAATATTATTTTTCCATTGTTAAAGTTTCGTCATATTATTTGAAGGCGTATTAACTTTATTTTTTTAGGAAATGTAGATAATTTTTTTGCTGATAAAATGAGATTTATACTTTTAATAAGAGTTTAATAGCACAAATTTTTATTAAGCATAGAAATTAAACAATTTTGGTTTATATCATTCTCATTATGAATTTCAAATTTGAGTAAATAATTTTAAGCTGAACAATTTAAATTTAGAACTAATAAATTTGAAAAATATTCTAATTGGATTTTCGAATGTTTTTTATAGAATTTTATTATTAGAAAAAGTTTTAATTTAATTTTGATGAAAGAATTTACTTCTATATACTGTGTGAAAATGTTTAAAATAGTATATATGAGTAGTACATATACATGCATCTATACTGTTAAATCACTAATTATTCTGTTAAATATACAGTTGGCGACATAAAGATTCAGAATTTTTTGTAACATACAAAAAATGTCGTAGGTAAGTCATATTTTAAATTTGTTTACGCTATATTAATATAACATCTCATGATCTACTGTACGTAATACCACTCTTGAAGCACAAAGAATTATTATAAGAGAGTTATGGGAAAAACCTGCTAAAATTATAAAAATCACAGGTTATGCAAAGTCTACAGTATATGATCTTGTTAAAAAACTCAAAGAAAATGACATCATTACATCTCATCCTATTTCTGGAAGTTTTTTCACTCTTTTATCTGAAAATCATCATCATTTAGACCAGCTTGTTCAAATCAACCAAGCAATTTCTGCACTTGAAATGAGAGATAGACTTATCAAAATTAATTTAAATCTAAATGTATTCACTTGCACTATCCAATATACTCTTAATAAAAAACTTTATTATGTTATTTGTAGATCATAAAGGATTTCTCTTCTCAAGTCAAATCATATTATTTCTCATCTTGAGTAGAACCAAAAACATATAAATAATAACTGGAATCAAATAATTTTTTCAGATGAAATTACACTTCAGATATTTTAAAATATCTATCTAGTATAATATTATTATATATAAAGTTCATACATAGAAAGCATTTCTTTATAAGAACTAATCATATTATTTTTATTTATAGAAAATCTAAATTCTTGCAAATATAATAAATTCTTGAATCTTATCTATTTCTAAATACTTATAAAACTGATTTTAGATAATATTTTAATAGAATAATTCTTTTATTCATATTACTAATATTGTAAAAGATCTTTTTGAAGATTATTAAATTTGTATAATTGATTAATCTGCAAATTTATCTAATCTAAATTTAATTGAAAATCTATAGATTAGATAATACTAAAAAAAAATTGAAAAGAAGATTAATATTTATTTAATAAAAAAAATATTATCTGAAATTCAAGAAATAATTAGGCAAGAATAAAATAATATTAATTTTTATATCTTTTTTAGATTAGTAAGAAGTATAAATAATATATTAATAAGCTAATTAATAAAAATAAATTATTAATTATATATAATTAGTTATATTATATATTTAAATATATTTTAAAAAAATTTTATAATTAAAAAATATGTAAATAAATTTTAAATTTTTATATTATTAATTATATATATAATATAATTATTATTATAAATAATAATTAAAGAATTATTTTTTTAAAATTTTATAAAATCTAATTATATAAGTAAATTAATTTATATATTAGCAAGAATTTTAATTTATATTTGATTAAATATAACTTTCTTGATTTTTTTAATAGAAATTTTTTTATTTACTATTTATCAATAAAAAAAATAGATATAATTAATTTTTATTAAATATATATAAAATTACTAATATTATTTATTAATATATTTAATAATATTAAATATTTTATAATATTTTATAAAATATATATATATTATTAAGTATTAATATAACTTTATCTATTTATGAATTAATAAATTAATAATTATAAATATTAATATATTAATAAATATATAAATTTAAGTTTTTCTACTTGTATAAATATATTAAATTATAGATAATATAATTATTAATATAATAAATTTAATAAATAAAAGATTTTTAAAATAATATATAAAAAATATTAATAATATATATAAGTAATATCTGAAATAAAATTGATAAAATTAATTACAATAATTTTATTATTTTATAACTTATTATTAATATTTATATTTTTATTTTATTTTACTTATTTTTTTATTTTTACTTAAATATTTATTAATATTTAATATTTTTAATTTAATATTTTTATTTAAAATACTTATTAAAATTTATAAATTTTAATAAAATTAAAGTTAAAATATTAATTAATTATAGATCAGTACAAAAAGATTAATATCAATATAAAAATTAATAATTATTTCTAATAAAAATCATTCAAATTTTAATTAATCTTTATAATTTTTTTATATTAA